GTTATGGAAGTTTACAAACTTCTTTCCTAATTGCATTTAAGGATAAAGAGGGCAATAAGGACATACCAAGAGGGCAATAAGGACATACCAAGAGGGCAATAAGGAGATACCAAGAGGACAATAAGGAGATACCAAGAGGGCAATAAGGACATACCAAGAGGGCAATAAGGAAATACCAAGAGGGCAATAAGGACATACCAAGAGGGCAATAAGGAGATACCAAGAGGACAATAAGGAGATACCAAGAGGACAATCAGGAGATACCAAAAGGACAATAAGGACATACCAAGAGGGCAATAAGGACATACCAAGAGGGCAATAAGGAGATAGATACCAAGAGGGCAATAAGGACATACCAAGAGGGCAATAAGGACATGCCAAGAGGACAATAAGGACATACCAAGAGGGCAATAAGGAGATATCAAGAGGGCAATAAGGACAAACCAAGAAGGCAATAAGGACATACCAAGAGGGCAATAAGGACATACCAAGAGGGCAATAAGGAGATACCAAGAGGGCAATAAGGAGATAGATACCAAGAGGGCAATAAGGACATACCAAGTGGGCAATAAGGAGATAGATACCAAGAGGGCAATAAGGACATACCAAGAGGGCAATAAGGACATACTCAGTGGGCAATAAGGAGATACCAAGAGGACAATAAGGAGATACCAAGAGGGCAATAAGGACATACCAAGAGGGCAATAAGGACATACCAAGAGGGCAATAAGGAGATACCAAGAGGGCAATAAGGACATACCAAGAGGGCAATAAGGAGATAGATACCAAGAGGGCAATAAGGACATACCAAGAGGGCAATAAGGAGATACCAAGAGGGCAATAAGGACATACCAAGAGGGCAATAAGGAGATATCAAGAGGGCAATAAAGACATACCAAGAGGGCAATAAGGACATACCAAGAGGGCAATAAGGAGATAGATACCAAGAGGGCAATAAGGAGATACCAAGAGGGCAATAAGGACATACCAAGAGGGCAATAAGGAGATACCAAGTGGGCAATAAGGACATACCAAGAGGGCAATAAGGAGATACCAAGAGGGCAATAAGGAGATACCAAGAGGGCAATAAAAATCCTAAGTCAAAGAACAACATACAACACCATGACAAAAAGAGAGAGAAAAACAGAAAAGACAGAACTATGTCCACTGAACACCACAGAGAAAAACTACAGATCAGTCAGCACAGTACCCATCTAAAACACTAAGTCTTGGAGTATAACTCAAATGTAATCATATGAAAGGAAGTCAACCTCTTCTTATGATTATAAAAATCCATATTTATTATAGTATTTTACGTGTCTGATGGCCGAACAGTAAAAACGGAGTTACTAGTTTTAACCTGCCTCATATGCCTAGGGATGTCTCAAGGCAGGAACGTTGTCATGGTTTTTTATGGTGTAATGTGAATTTGTTGTTGATGGCAGACCTATTATAGACTTTGTTAAATTTATTCACAACCTATTTACTCCAGATGTTTAAGAGCTAAACTGTGTTAAAAATATTAATTTGAACTCTAGATGTTTCGTTTTGTTATTTTGTGTCGTTGGGTTGCAGTCATGTCGACGTATACCCCACACAATGTTTTATCAATAAGACTTGTTACAATGACACCTTGATGAATTTTGATCTCAATAATTTTCATACACATAGGATTATTCTGTGATTGTTTTAACGAAAATATTCATAAATTTCCAGGTATTATTTATACATCCCTGGCTTTAAATTGTTTAGGTTTTAGTGTTAATGTTGAAGGTGAAACCAGAAAAAGCGCTTCGGATACACGAAAATTTTAAAGTGTGTATTTCATTTATTATATTTAGCCTTATTCTGTTGAGGAAATGAATCTTTACCGTTGTCTTGCCTTTAATATTATTGAATTTAATCAAATCAATACCATTATCATTTCTTTTGAAAGAATAAAATTGTCTTTAAGTTAGTACATGAAATATGAATCCTTATTGTAAATGTATGGTCTTTCGTTGTTGTTTGCATAAAAATAAAATGTGGTATGATTGCCAATGAGAAACTCTCCACTAGAGACCAAATGACATGCATTGAAGCAACTATATATAGATCACCGTATGGCCTTTTACATAAAGCAAAACCCATACCGTTTAGTTCATATAATAAAGACTCCGACATAACAAAATGTAAAACAATTCAAACGAGAAAACAAACGAACTGATTCAATTGATATGTTCAAAAGAATTAACGAAATGTCTGTTTGTGTGTCTGTTTTTCAGAAAGGTCGGGTGATCGTGGTTGGTGTGGTCTATTGTACTATCCTCCTGGTATATTTGTTTATGTTTTAACGGTTTGTTGCTCAACTGAATACGTTAATAAAGCGCATACTAAACAGTTTTGATCACACGGTGAATTTTTGACGAAAGTTTGCATACAAGCTATTTTCACCTAGTCAATTCAAATATGTAATAAAAAATATACGTGCATGTGCTACCTTTAGAGATAAATGGGGTCGACATTTTAGACATTAACTGGACATTCGGTTTCTTGGACATTTCTATCCTTTGGAAAGACATATAAACCTAACTTTTTTGTTTCAAAAGATAAACGCAAGAGGACTTTTATAAAAACATCTGTAACATCTTCTCTACATAAGTGTGCTCTGAATTTGTGTATCAATTCTTGAAAATAATTCATTTTTATCACATTTTCATGATTTTAGACAAAAACGGCATTTTTGATGTATTTTTATCTAATTTAAAATAAAAATCATCGGTAATTTGTTTATAAAAATTGGTCCAAGTAACCTTCATACATAATCAAGCCAAATGTCATCAGTCTGAATGATAAAAATCAGTCGGAAAATGCATCTTTTCCCGATATGTCACAGTTTGACAAAACTAACAATTTACGCTAGCGACGTCATTACCTCCCCTGTAACTGTATCTTATGGCCTTAATTAATAAATAATCATTTCAGACCTTGTAACTTGGTGATTTTATATCTATCATGGTCCCAGTGTGGTATGAATTAAGAATATAAATGGTTTTTTTTATTTTTGTTTTTTCATTTATTTTAAAGTTTTACTCGACATTGCAATCCCTTCAGAGACCTCAAATGGTCTTATCTTTAAAATTTTTACCAGGGTTGGTTATCTCAACCAAATATTTGTGGAAACATACCATATTTAGGAACGTATAATTAAAATGAAGTTACGATTCAGTTTCTTGGCTATTGTTTGTTCCGTGCTTATTTTATGGATAGCACTGTTTCTTTATGTATTCCTAGATACACCTGTACCAGATGAATTTCCGGAGGCCATGAAATTTAAATTAATGGATGGACTAATGCGGTTGCATGGATTTCTGGTAAAGTTAACAAATAATTAGCTTATTGGAGATAAATGTTTATCTTTAAGATACGCACATACTATCAATGACACATATACAGTAACAATTCAAAGGGGTTTCGGGAATGAAAAAGTTTGAAAATATATTTCTTCATTTTTCAGTCTTTTACTGATAAATGGACTTTATTTTGCAGTTCACATTTAAATACATTATCTAATCAATAATTCTTCAAACCTTCTTTGAGTTGTATTTAACTTGGACAGGACCTTCTTAGTGATCAAATGACAGTATCCATGGCAATATTTGAAAATATTTTTCTTCATTTTTCAGTATTTACTGATCAATGGACTTAGAATTTTTTTCTGCAGTTCACATTTTGATATTGTCTGTTTTTAACAAAAACTTTGTCAAACATTCTAAGAGTTTTATGAAACTTGAACACAGGTTTTTATGATGAAGAGATAGCGTCTGAAACAAAATTTGAAGAAAAAAATATATATTTTTATGTTCCTGTGTATAACTGATAAATGGATTTAGTTTTTTTTTACAGTACATGTCCATACGGTTATTAAATAATGTTTAGTCATCAATATCTTTGTCAAATCCTCCTCGACGGTTGTTACGAAAACTTGATATGATTAAGCTTCTTCATGATCAAACATGGAATCTTAAGGATGTATTCTTCTGATGTTTCAGTCTCGTTGATATCTCGTTCGGGAATTATTTCCAAAACATGTGATACAAGTGGAAAATATTAATGAATTTAAAAAGTATTAAAGTCAAACTAAACTCTGTGAAAAAATTGTGTACTTACAATAAGTAGTTTTTTAGTAATAAAATTTTCAAATTTTATAACCAATCTGGTCAGTCTCATCAGCCAAAATGTTGAGAAAATGGGTGAAGGGTACAAAAAAATGATTTTACCAAAAATATGTACATCCCATCAACTTTTTTCTTTTCAAAGTTCTTAGATATGTATTTTTCAATCATTTATAACAAAAAAGAGAAAAATCCCAAATTTACAAAATCGACAGCATGGTCAATTTGACACGAAAAAGGCAACAAAATTTTATAAAACTTTCTAATGTTAACACCAACCTATAGTTTTTTTAAGTTAAATTTATTCAGATTGGTCCACTTCATCTTTAATGAAAGTTTGAAACAAAGTTTAATTGTGAAATTGTGATTTTTTCATGATAATAGTTCAAAATGGGTAAAAATTGATAAAAAATGGGAAAATCATTAAAATTGGGTACTTTCAAATGGCCGTAGCAAAAAAAGAAGTGCACCACCATATGATTTTTTCTTCATCAATTACTTTCTTACAGTCATATAAACCCAAAAATCAGGTAAAGAAAAAAAGTTTAATTCTAGAAATTTTTGGCTCCTCCGAGGTGTACATCCTTAAGAAAAACTTTTATTTTTTTTCTTCTATTTTTTACTAATAAATCATTTTTTTTTTCTTTTTTGCAGTCAACATTGTACTTTTACACTAACAAGAAATGATTTTTTGTGAAAGACTAAATCATTGATTCGCGTGTCGCCATCACGTGATTTGCACAAATTTAAGTGACAAATGAAGAGCGATATAAATAAATACATATACTTAAATTATTTTTGGAATACATTTATGTAACCTCGGATGTAGATATGTCAATAAGAAATTATAGAGCATGGTTTAGTTGTCAATTTAAGTGGATCTTATAATATATCAAGGAGATTATGTGACCCCTTGGTCATATGATAACATTTTGATTGCAATAACAATACGTCCCTCCTTTTGTGCTATCTACATGCTAACTAAACATACAGATAGCGAAAGTATGCCATCAGTTTGTCATCATTTGGACTTTAACTCATTCACACATGTGGATTGTAAATATGGCTACTCGTACAACGTTTTCTATATTGGCAGTTTTGATAAGCGTCTTTTTGTATTTTTACTTGGACGCTCATGTACCGGAACCATTCCCACAAAAATTTAAACTGAAAATAATGGATGCTTTTATGAAAACATACGTACACCTTGTAAGTATTATAGTATATGATCGTATTTGGTAATTTGACACGCTATAAAAAAGGAGCACTACACGAGTGATATTGTGATAGAAAGAAAAATGGTCTCTGGTTTGTTCGAATAAAGAAAAGAAGAAAGTTGCTTGCATTTGTTTATGTTTTAATTGAATTTATAGTGGGAAGGGAGTTTTTTTCTATTATACAACAGCACTTAAGAGACCAACCTGTACGGCTGCGTTAGTAATAACAATTTTTGGTTAGTGGACATTTGACTTGAAGATTGTAAGCTGAATAGGTCCTTACATTTTAATTTGCTTTTACGTTGTAATGTAAAAGTGCTTTCCCAGTTTTAGCGCATAACATTTCTCCATTGTATTTTTATAACTGCACATAAATATGAGCAAGTAATTAAATACGACATTTTCTCTCTCTCGAGTAAAATTGAGTCCCAAGTTTTCAACACCATTAACAGACAAATGGGAAGTAAAAGTCTGGTTTGAGTCTAATGTTTTGCATCATCCTTAAACTATGATCTATATAGGGTCAATATTATGTCTGACCCTTCTTGCCGCTGTGGTGTTAATCGTGAAGATTCCTATCATTTCTTTTTTAAATGTATATTTTATTCAGACATACGAAATAAAATGTTTGAAAGTCTGCGCTGGCTTCCAAAAGATTGTAAAATTAACATAGAACTACTAACCTCGGGTAAAAATTAAAAGTTCGGAAAGATTTCTAATTGTCTAGATATCAAACCATGACCGCACACACATCATCATCTAAGTAAAAGTCTTCCTTTTTTTTTTGTATTTTTGTTTGTTTAATTTGTATTTTATTTTTTGTTTTTGTTTTCTAAATATTCATTTATTTATTTTTATATATTTATTTTTTTGTATTATTGTTTTCTTTCTGTCTTCACTTTTCTGTCCTTTGACATGAATCCATATATATATATATATTAAATAGATATAGAATAGAATAGAATAGAATATTTTTATTTCCCAAATTACAGGGCCCATAAAGGGCATAAAATCAGATACAATTTCTTTACATAATTAGTAACAACAACAATAATAGTCACTTGAAAATATATATTTAGTATATAAGCATTGGTCAGAATCAGAGCCAAAAACCACATACATATTGTGAATAAAGAATAAAATTACATTATATGCATTCATTCTCAAATCATTTACTTGACTTAGTGTCAATATGCATACCTGATCTCCTTAATTCAAAACAGTCACAAATATAACAGCCCAGTTTTTCCATAAGAGTTACATTTTCTTGAGTCAAGAGCCATAAAAATTTAGAAGATTTATTTAAATTTTTTAAAATTATAACAATTGTCAGATATGTAGTGAAAAAAGTCTTCCCTTTGAGTATCATAAAGAGGACATTCTAACAAAAAATGAAGCTCATCTTCAACTTTACCAAGTGAGCAATTTGAACAAAGACGCTCAGATCTTTCTATATATTTTTTTGAATATCTGTCTGTCTCAATTTTTAAAGAGTGAGCACTTATTCTTAATTTACAAATAGACTGTATTTTTTTAAAATCCTGTAGTTCTAAATGTTTTTCTTTTTTAAAACAATTTTTTATAGAAAAATAAGTACCAAGCTTCCCTTTTTCAGAGTTAATTGTTTGATACTTCAGTCTATTCCAAAATGTTAAATAACTTTCACATAGTTTATTTTTAACATACTGACATAAAGAACCAATTGATTGGTCAAAATTTGGTAAATCAATCTCTCTCTGAATATAATCTATACTAGAGTACCATGTATTTACATTAGAAATATGTAATTGTTTACAACATATGAATGCATCAAATAATAATCCTTCTTTCAAACCTTCCAGTCTATGACAATATTTTAACATTGATAAAATTATAGTAAAATAAATAGGAAATCTACCAAGCTCTGACATCACAGCTATGTTACTGGACTTTCTGTTTACACCAAGAATATATTTCATAAATTTGTTAAGAGCTTTTTCAGAGGACTCATAACAAATTTATGAAATATATTCTTGGTGTATACCATTCTATACATGCATGCTCATACATATATTTTGTATCATATTGCTATAAATGTTAAATGGAGAAGACTTCATGGTTTACTTTTATAAATTTTGACTTGGATGGAGAGTTGTCTCATTGGCACTCATACCACATCTTCTTATATCTATTCATAAGTCTGTTTGTCTTATCCAATTTGTACTTGAACAAATAAAATATGTTTAAACTAAACCTGTAAGGTATAGATATTGCATTTTGCATTAAAATGTTATTTCTGAAAACGAAACGTATGAAAAATATATCATTTGCAATCATATTATTTTTTAGTTTAACCTTCGACCGCAAACATCTGCCTAATTTTCATGAATATATACATTTCTTAACAATAAAAACATATAAAAGCTTATATGACTTCAGCAGCATATGATATACACACAATGATCCGAAATAATTCCAAAAAAAACTAACATATTGTTATAGCGAAGAATAATTGTATATCAAAATTTTGTTTCGTGCAGGAAATTTCCAATTTGCACAAAACATTGAAAAACGAAATTTGCAAATATTTTGATTTTGTTAACTTCCATGTACTATTTAACCAAATGATTTAACAAAGTGCAGTATATGGTTTAAGAAGTGTATTAAGTGTTAAATAAGGCTACCATTGGTGGATGGAGAAGGCGGTTTGTAGGTCCGGATGAAAGGACTGCTAGTGCCCCCTTTTTTTTCATTTTATGATAAGATAAATCCAAGGAAAAAATAGCTAAAACCCACCTTTCAATGTGAAAACCTCTACATCAACCTTGAAGACTTTCTAGATTTGAGACAGTAACAAAAATATTAACATTACGAATCATAACTTGCAGCAAAAGCGTGTCTTTTTCGAAGCTTTTGTGTTGCTTTGTTTTATTCAATTATCAAAACAGATTTGATGAGATTTGTTATATATAACACTGTGATTAGATCTTTGAATATTGTTTTTATCAGTATAAATATTGATTTTGTTATCAGTAAATTAAAACCAAACCAAATATTATTGTTAAACACATATTTACAATCTATCGATAGCTATATTTTGGCATTGCGCATGGTCATGTTTTTATCCGACTGTTAATGATGTCTTTACACTAAATCCATTGGATGTTGGATGTGTATTTATTGATATTTTAGTTTTAGACACATGATTGTCTTTTTATTTAAAATTTGGCAATCATACCACAACTTCTTATTTTCATATTTAAATAGCATTAACCATATAAGATTATAATGACGATCTTTAGACTGAATTTCCTCAGCTTATAAAAAAATTATGTGCCTATTAAATTTGATGATAAAAATAAAAATAAGGAGATGTGGTATAATTGCTAGAGATTAAACTGATTTGTATTTTTTTTTTTGTATTTTTATGTTGTTTTTATTGTACATATCTCCTTTTATTCACATGCCAGTATGATTGATTGATAAATTGTGGTAAATATTTCATGCATGTTCATGACCAGAACAAATTAACAACAAATACAATAGTAAGGTCAAGTAATATGAATCAACCGGGATGAAACGAGCAAAAAAAGGGGGGGAATTCACTGAAAAATGAGGGGTATATCGGATAGGAACAGAAATGTTCCCTTGCAATAGGCGACCTACGGACCCTTAAGAGTTTTTACAAGGGTCCTTACTGCATGTGCAGAGAGCGTAATAATTTCACGAGGCATTGGATTTAAACTCTCCATTCTTACCGGACGTGGCTGCGTATTTATACAAAGGTTTTACTGTCGGTCGGCAGAAGACCATAAGTGACCATGTTTCTATACCACTGCCAAGAATATATTAGACATCTAGACCATTTTCAATAACTAAAATTCAGAGTGATATCTTCTTGTGAGTTCTTTAAAATTCTAACCACAACATTATGGCTGTTTTGTTTTAAACATGTCACCTAATTGTGGCTTAAAACTGCAACTTAGGTAGATTGTTACAAAAATGAATAAGAATAGCATATGTTACCAAAACTTTGGAAGTAAAGCTATATTTTGTCTTTCAGATACAAGCCATTTTAAGTCGGTTACCGATATCTTTCAATTCCCACTTTTGCATATATAAACTGTAATATTTTGCGACATTGTTTTCAAACTGTTACCACCATCAATACATAGCATTGAATAGCATTTTGAATCAATAGATATAAGTGTAAAAATATTTGTAAAATAATTAATATGCATTATTTAACACAGTGAATCAGATGCTCATTTTTTTTTTTTTTTTTTAATTTTCAATCAAAATATTACAAAATGTGAAAAAATTGGTATGATGGTGGGTGAAAACACCAAATCTTTCACATAAGGGACTCTGTGGTCTAGAACGTCACGTCAACAAACGCATATCTGCCGTAATGGATATATGTTTTTCACGACGTTCGTAAAAATAACAAATACATTTTTTTTCATTCGATGTCTTTTAAAAAGGAAACTTGAATTTCAGATCTTCAAACTAGACAAAGTTTTTTCTTTTACCTTTTTTATCTATAGTTTACAGCAAAGTAAAAATTGGTAATGTTATCCAGAACGTTTATTTTGCATAATCTGTATGATATAGTACGTAAATACGTTCATTAGGAACGTGCTCGCGATGGTTAATTCAAATAATTAAGATTGGTGTTTGATGCTTTACGCTAACGACGCGAAATGTAGGAGTAAGAACAAATACGGGTCGGGTCGGAGTCAGAAAAATGTGTCTGGTTAGGGTGTCATATATTCCTGTAGTCTGCTACTTTTGAAATAGAATGTTGAATGTTTCCAGCCGCCAATATTTAGTAAACTATATCCATTTTGCAACTCATTCTCTTTGATAGGAGACAACAGTCAATCTCTTTATATGAAACCTACGTCTGGGAAAATGTGTCAGATATTATATTAAGATGAATGTAAACGATTAAATTTAGTGGGAAATAACCACGCGTCACAGATATTCAAAGATATTTGTTTTATATCTTTCAGATATCTGGTATGACCTCATTAGGACTGATCGAATATTTTTCTCCAGCCGACAGGAAGATAGCTGATTGGTTTATACTCACTATGACGACAGGTTTCCCATGGGGTTCCGGTGTAGATTCCAGACTGCAAGTAAGAATAGTTTGAGAAAACAAAGAAGAAATAAAGTGGAATATGTCATTAAAACGTCAAATAGCTATTTCCAATCAAAGAATATGTCTACTGATCCAAATTTATGTAAGAGAATCCAAAATTATGTCCACTGATCCAAATATATTATATCAACTGATCGAAATAAATGTCCACTGATCCAAATATATGTTTACTGAACCAAATATATTCTTCAGATCTAAAACTATTTCCACTGATCCAAATATATGTCTACAGATCTAAATCTATATCCACTGATCCAGATAAATGTTTAATGATCCAAATATATGTCTACAGATCTAAAAATATGTCGACTGATCCAAATATATGTCTACAGATCTAAAAATATGTCCACTTATCCAAATATATGTCTACAGATCTAAAACTATGTCCACTTATCCGAATATTTGTCAACTGATCCAAATATATATCTACAGATCTAAAAATATGTCCACTAATCCAAATATATGTTTACTGGTCCAAATATATGTCTACAGATTTAAAACTATGTCCACTGATCCAAATATATGTTTACTTAATCAAATTTATATAACAGATCTTAAACTACGTCCACTGATCCAAATATCCAAATATATGTCTACTGATCCAGATCCAAATATATGTCAACTGATCCAAATATATGTCAACTGGTCCAAATATATGCCTACAGATCTAAAACAAAATATGTCGACTGATCCAAATATATGCCTGCAGATCTAAAATATATGTCGACTGATCCAAATATATGTCTACTGATCCAAATATATGTCTACTAGTCCAAATATATGCCTACAGATCTAAAACAAAATATGTCGACTGATCCACATATTTGCCTACAGATCTGAAAAATATGTCGACTGATTCAAATATATGTCTTCTGATCTAAATATATGTCTACTAGTCTAAATGTCTATAGATCTTAAACTATGTCCAGTGATCCAAATATATGTTTACTAATTTAAATTTATATTACAAATCTAAAACTATGTCCACTGATCCAAATATATGTCTACTGATCCAAATATATGTTTACTGATCAAAATATGTCAACTGTTCCAAATGTATGTTTACTAATTTAAATTTATATTACAAATCTAAAACTATGTCCACTGATCCAAATATATGTCTACAGATCTAAAAATATGACGACTGATCCAAATATGTCTATTGATCTAAATATATGTCTACAGATCTAAAACTGTGTCCACTATTCCCAATATATTTTTACTAATCCAAATATATGTCTACAGATCTAAAACTTTGTCCACTGATCTAAAAATATTTCTTCTGATCCAACTGCATGTAACGGATTCAAATATATGTCTTCTCAAAAACTCTACTAAACCTGTCTCAACCTAGGCTTAATTCTGCGTCAACTAGGTAGGTTTAAACTCGGGGGAGGGAGGAGGGGTCGATTGAAATTCGAGTAAACTCGACTAACTTTACTAACCCGAGTTGGACGAATCAAAGTAGGCCCGGATGACCACACTAAATGCTCTAGAGAGTATAAATGTCCGGTATATAGAAAACGAAATTGTTATCAATACTATACATTATCTTCAAAGTGCCAATACACATGAAACCCTTTTGGAACATTACACTGAAAATAAAGTAGGCAGGATTTTGTTCCCCTGACCTTGGCTTATCCATCAGGTTTGGGAGAACATGCCCAGTAAAGCTTTCAAGGAAATTAAAATTTCCTATTCAAGAGATTTCATCTAATAAAACACAGATTTTGAAGATTTTCATACTATATATAGCTATCCTTAGCAATTATGATATTGATTTTTGACCAATTTGACGTAAAATCGAAACTTTTTTCTACATGAATGAATGCTCTTTATTCTCATAAACCATATTCAAAGTTACAGAAAAGATAATATTAAAGGATTAAAAGATAATTCAAAATTCTGTTAGATTTTGTAAATTTACTTGAATCAAACAAGTATACCTCAAGCCATCACCAATAACAACAAATTGTGATTTTTTTTTATATTCGGATTATTGTTAGTTGTTGTGAATTGGGACTTCGCCATTTTGACATAAAAATCAATAGAATTCTTTTCATTCACTATAACTTACAAATATGCAAGTTTTGAAATTTGACCTATCGACCCAAAATTAATAGGTTTCGTATTTCGTTTTCTTGTTTTAATCGTTTTACATGGTCATTTCGGGGGTATTTTAATGCTTGCTATGCGTGCAGGTTTTGCTCATTGTTGAAGGCTGTGCGGTAACCTATAGTTGTTAACTTCTTCGTCATTTGGCTCTGGTGGAAAGTTCATCTCCACACTTTTATTATTTCCCCCTTTCCTTTACATTCTATCTGTATAAGTTCCATTCCAATCACGCAAGGTTAACATTTGATGACCGTTTGTTTCTGACAATCATACGGACGTACGAACGGGCGGACGGACGGATAAAGCGATGACTATATGTTCCAGAAATCTACAAGCAGGCTGTTTAAATTTAATGTAATACATGAGTATATATTCCACCGATGATTATATAATTTCCACAATAATAGCACTAAAAGTCAATAAATAATCTGAACAACTTGAATGAATCCTTTTCTCTCAGTCTCATTATCAATATGGATTCAAGGAAAATCTAGAACTTTGACCTGTCTTTAAAGTTCCATATAATGTAATGGAGTTATATATACTTTTACCGACCTATCTTATTGATAACTCAAAGACAAACACCCGAACCTATCTTATTTATAACTCAAAGACAAGCACCTAAACCTGTCTTATTTATATTTCAAAGACAAGAACCTGAACCTATCTTATTTATATCTCAAAGACAAGCACATGGACCTATCGTATTTATATCTCAAAGACAAGCACATGGACCTATCGTATTTATATCTCAAAGACAAGCACGTGAATCTATCTTATTTATATCTCAAAGACATGCACCCGAACCTATCTTATTTATATCTCAAAGACATGCACCCGAACCTATCTTATTTATATCTCAAAGAAAAGCACGTGAACCTATCTTATTTATATCTCAAGGATAAGCATGTGAAGCTATCTTATTTATATCTCAAAGACAAGCTCCTGAACCCATCTTTTTATATCTCAAAGACAAGCACGTGGACTTATCTTATTTATAACTTAAAGACAAGCACGTGGATGTATCTTATTTATAACTCAAAGACAAGCACGTGGACTTACCTTATTTATATCTTAAAGACAAACCCGTGGACTTATCTTTTTTATATCAAAAAGACAAGCACGTGGACTTATCTTATTTATATCTTAAAGACAAACCCGTGGACTTATCTTATTTATATCTCAAAGACGAGCACCTGACTCTATCTTATATATATATGTGAAAACACATATATCTATCTTATTTATATCTCAAAGACAAGCACGCGAACATATCATATTTATATCTCAAAGACAAGCTCCCGAAACTATCGTATTTATATATCAAAGATATGCACATATACCTATCTTATTTGTATATCAAAGACAACTACAATGGACTTATCTTATTGTATGTAATTCGACAGACTGATGACTCGTACTATCTAGAGGATAAGTGGAACAAATCACCAGTTAACAACCGGTTCAAATCCTCTGAGTTCCTCAAGATTAATTTTTGTCAATGTCAATATCTAAAGAAAAAAATTGAGTATGAACTTAAGGCTGGATAATGTTTTGCATAACTCAGCGTTAGCATTAGCTCATATAGTGTTACCATACAGTGTGAGTTGTGTCCTAATTAGAAAAAGTTTCCTCCAGCAATCAGCACATATAAAAATCCTACAATTGCAGTCAAACAAATAGTAAAGACAAAACTCATCCAGTCAAATAATCTAGAAATATCTTTCCATGTTATATCATCGCGATCTTCATCCCCATTTTTCTCTTTACTAACTGGTCTCTTTGTCTCTTTTAGTTGTTTATCTGAAATCTCCGAAGAAATTCGTGAAATCTTCAAGTCTTGCTTTAATTGTACAATCGACGAGCCTCTTTTTGTTGACATTGTCGATGGTTTTTGATGGTCTAATTCAACGGATTCCGTGTGTTTTGTTTTTAATATCTTAACAGAAGTAAAGTCTTTATTTCTCTTTGTGTTACAAATTTTTCTACGAAGCATGCAGCGTGTAATATTTTTAAGGTATTTTGGAACCGGTTCTTGGTCGTCTTTGTGATGAAGACAGACACTTGTAATTGTCAATAAACAAATTACACTTGAAATACAAACAAGGATCGTTAAGAAACACGAGAGAATTGAGAGGGGTTTAGACGATTTTGGAATCAAGTCTGACGTCAGAGTCAAATATACTGCAAGTGCCAATAAACAAGTTATACTATATCCGGTTCTTTCCCCTGAATCTGTGGGTAGGACGAAAACAACAGAATTTAATAATACAAGAATAGTCACTGGTATAAAGATATGGACGATAAAGAAACCATACCTCCTTTTGAGATTAATGGTATATCTGACAACCGGATATTCTCTGTCAACGAGTCCTGTACTAACAGATGTACTAGATAACTCCCATAGTCCATTTTCTGAATACAATGACATGTCAATGGAAAACGTTTCAAATTCTAAATCAGTACCGTTGTATAGCCCAGCTATCAGGATGATATTGCAAGTTTGTCGGTCGAATGGAAAATTTGTAGAATCTACGTTACAGGAAGTTTGTAAGAACTCACGTATGATCTGCACGGCGTTACCATTAGCATCATATCTGACCATATTATCGGCTACTTCAAGTTTCAGTACTTTATTAACTGGATTGTTAACAGTAATCGGTGGTGTCCATACTTTATCTTGATGTATAAGTATCTCGTTTACATTATTATATAAAAGTGGGTCCCATTCCATTCTAGCGTCATTCCAAGAAATTTTTAAACTAATTACGGTTGAAAAAGTACCGGAAATGTCGTCAAGATCGTTTATTGACATCAGTTTGAGTTCAATATTCAACGAAGTTTTTGCTCCCGGATTCATTAGATAGCTCGGTCTGATGTCGGTGTTGTATGCTCCGTCCGATCCATTGTATAATAGTGTGTTGTATATATTCATAACGTCTGTATGATCAGCATTAAAAATACCTTTGAAAAAATGACACACGATTATAATCGTAAATCTCTTCCCATAGAATTCCATAGTTGATTGAAATTTGGACTGTTACTAAATCAATTCTTGAAAATTACACCAAAATATTCCTTAATGTATTACCTCAACCTCTTTGTAGGGAGGTTCTCTCCTTTGTCGCATACGGGTATCTGGGTCACCCTTGTTGTTATATCTGTCAGAGGCAAACAGATTAAGGACAGGGAACCAGTCTAGTACTTTTGTTACTAGAAGACTTTTGTCTGATATTTTCTTGTTTTCAAAAATAATTCTTTTGAAATTCTTCCCGTAAAGTTCGCCAATGTAAGTAAATCTTTAATAAGTATTAACTACATAACGAGTTTGCAAGCTACTGTTATTCAAACAAATACATAACTAGGAGATTTGGCTACAGTTCTTAATCTAACCAAGTCGGAACAACACCTTACTTATTCAACTTTAAAGGTTACAGTAACATATTAGTGGTCCACAGATTAAAGATTTAGAATTAAAGATTATAATTCAGAGGATTAAGTTCTTATTGTAAAATTGCTTCATCAATTTCATTTGAGAAATTACATTTTACAGTTTAATTGATAAACTATCAAATAATCTATGTCCAATTTTTTATATTTTTGTCCCATCCTAAAGGCTGTTTGGGAGTTAGAAATACGGACCATCCGCCATTTAAAGGCTGTCTGGGGTATAGAAATACGGACCATCCGCCATAATCAAATAAAAGGACTAAAGAATTTCATTTATCAATTAAAATTGATCAATTTCTTAAGTGGTAGGACAATTTACCCTGAATACATTATAAAAACAAGTATTTTCATCTTTGCTTATATTTTTGTAAGCAAAGCTCCAAATGTATATTTCAAAGTTGTAATAGCATCTTATTTTGACTTATTTGTGAAAATGGTGTCTTCCTGGAATGCCTACATTTTATACAAAATCTATTCCTTGAATGCCTACACAAATAATTGAATTGATGTTGTTTTAACCAAATCATAAAAGTTAAAATGAGTCAAAGGTGGATTGATATTTCAACAGACAGTCGGTATACCTATGGGTACTAATTGTGCGTCCCTACTGGTTTGTGTGTTTTTGTACTTATGTGAAACAGAATTCTTAAACATCTTTCTCAAAGACAAAAAATCATTTTGCTAGGTCCTGGAGGTTCAATTTCAGAAATCTTGTGATGCTGACCTGTCCCTGATCTATAACCCACATTTAAGTGAGTTGTTGCAAATCGTTTATTCCAGTGAATTTGAAGTTAAGGATACTACCGAAACTCGAAATAGACGTTCTCCTTACACAAATACTGCTCCAACAGAAATACGTGGAAGAACGACTGTAATCGATACTACATATCCCTTACGGTCGCCATTACGAATTGGTTGACGGATACGATGCGCATGTGTCTCAACTCACAATCGACATGCTTTCGCTGTCTTAATTCATTAGAATAGACGTCTGATCTGTAATTTTACAGATTGAGCCCTATTCCAGATTGTGACATTTTTAAAGAAAGTAGATTCGCATGGCGGATGATGCGTACATAGCAGTATAGCAGTAGACATTTAAATTATCGCGTCGACGCACCACCATGATTGATTTCATGCGATTCCCTCAGTTATTGTTTATTTTACCTAGATTTGAATCTTCTTTATGTACTCATAAGATCTGAACAACGATTAACTACTGTTGCCTCGGAAACTAAAAATGTACTTGAACTCATGGAGATTCATAAAAACTGAGTATTTGTAATATTAAAAAAAAAAGAACATGTTTAACCAAAACAAAAATTCTAACGGGAGTTAAGCTATATATTGTCTTTTTACAGATAACCGATACAAAAATTCGTGATGTGAGAGTAAAGATATACCAGCCAGCAAATAGCCTGGGTAAAAAGAATCGACCTGTACTTGTGTATTTTCACGGCGGAGGATGGAGCTTACTTTCGGCTGGTAAATATATTTACTACTTGTGAAGACTGGGCGATTTAATGCACAACAAATAACATAAAGGTATATTGTTGAAGGCCGTATTTTTACCTCTGGGTATCATTGGGGATTTGTCCTTTGATTGCTGTCTCATTTAAGTTTACCCCGTGTATCGTTTTACTTGACATATGTATCTACGAATTGAGTAGACATGCGAGTTGGGACATTCTAAACCCAAATACAGGGTGAGACCGGTTGGATCGACTGTACTTGTCTTTTTACATAACTGAGTGACCAGTATTAATTAAGAAAACCGGAACCAATCGATTATCCCGTCGATTTTTTTCAGTATTTTACTGACACTTGTCTAGAATTAAAGACGGATTGTTGGCCTCTGTTAATTGTTGGGGTTACTATATATTCCATTAAGGTACAGATATACACCAGATCTCAATTATTTATACACTAGTATAAGATAAACATCTCCTGCTACACGTGCTGTCGTAAAATAGAAGTCCCTTCATAATATAGGTTCCATATGGAAAAGTATTCTTGAATATTATTTCCTATGGAACAAATATTAAAGCATTTGTTCCTAACGGAATAAAGGGTATATAATATAGGGTATAGAATTATATTTGTTCCAACAGAAACAGGTATTATGGTATTGTTTATAACAAAGTTTCCAGAGGAACTTCACTTCAAATACAGGTTGATAAATGCATCATTTACATGCTATTCCCATGTTTAACCTATTGCACGTTTAATGGCCAGGAACATATCAGGACTGGTGCATGCATGCCACAATGACAGATAAACAATGTCGAAATATGTGACCTTTTTGGAAGCCTTTTCCAACTGATTTTTAGTTTTTTTCTTATGTTATGCTATAAAATTACTGTATCATGTTACGGATATATAGCGCTCGCTCACAAACATGTTTTACTCTGCGACATTCTGTTTGTGCTTGTCCATAGTCGGAACCTTCCATCCAGTGGTTGTCGTTTGTTGCTGTCTGTTATAACTGTTTTTCGCTTATTTTATTCGTATAATTTGGACTGTTACTTTTGAAATTGAAAATACGGGTATGTTGTATAGAAGAATGATATTTAAATTGACCACCCACGCGCGTCTGCATAAAGAATTGTATGAGTTATTTGGCATGCAGTTAGCCTGTGACATCAGATTCAATGTTCAAATTCCAACCAGATGTGGATGCGTATTTGCACCCTCGTTAAGCCAAATGGATAATCCATCTAGCTATATAGGCTATGATTATTACCGGACGTAGTAAATTCAGGTGCCTATATTTTCAGACCACAGTAAAATTTAGGGACGACATGTGTATTTCAAACGTAAATATAATTTTAATGAATTATTGTCTTTTCAGATTGTTATGACCCAATAATGAGGAAGATCTCTCGGGAAAGCGAGGTTGTTGTTATATCTGTTGAGTAGGTACCAGATACTGTTGCTATTACACGCTCAAAACACACACGTTTGGTTTGCTTTAAACACCAGCTGAATAATTAATCATTATTAAAGGATTTTTGTTTATACAAAGTAAAACAAACTTGAAAAAAAAGAAATCGTCATCTTCCTACGCAAAATGACCGGCTTGAATACAAAAATAAGAAGATATGGTATGATTGCCAATGAGACAACTGTCCAAATGACACAGAAATTAACAACCATAGGTCACCGTACGGCCTTCAACAATGAGTAAAACCCATACCGCATAGTCAGCTATAAAAGGCCCCGAAATGACAAATGTAAAACAATTCAAACGAGAAAACTAACGGCCTGATTTATGTACAAAATAATAAACAAAGAAAATGAAGACTTGTTATGTTTCTTTTCTTGATGATAATGCTCCGTTAGCTGTTACGGAATTTATGTTTCTTTTCTTGATGATAATGCTCCGTTAGCTGTTACGGAATTTATGTTTCTTTTCTTGATGATAATGCTCCGTTAGCTGTTACGGAATTTATGTTTCTTTTCTTGATGATAATGCTCCGTTAGCTGTTACGGAATTTATGTTTCTTTTCTTGATGATAATGCTCCGTTAGCTGTTACGGAATTTATGTTTCTTTTCTTGATGATAATGCTCCGTTAGCTGTTACGGAATTTATGTTTCTTTTCTTGATGATAATGCTCCGTTAGCTGTTACGGAATTTATGTTTCGCAGTAGTAAATTTAAAGATACTAATACTAATATTTCACAGATTCATTATTGTTTCGGGATTACTATATTTTACATACAGGTAATAGTTTTACGTATAATCTAATAATATGCTCAAATTCGTTACGCTAATGGTTTCTTATGTTTAATTAAGTTTATACATATATACTATCTTACTGCCCGATCTATTTTTTTGTTTTTGTTTGAATAACTAGGGACTTTAATGTTTTTTCACAGCTGCTATCAATAGTTTTCACTATTTTTTCTTTACCTTTTCTTCACACCTGCTGCTCGATGAGCTGACTTTGTTTTAGGAGGCTTTATATATTTACACTGATTGCACAACAACATGTCTCGCCTGTCTGCAGAAAATTCGAAAAAAGACAATCTAATGAACAGCAACATTGCAACAATTTAAAGTCGCTGGACCATAACATAGGGTACATGACCTGTAAATAGTCACCAAACTGATTGGTACTGATAGTAATGCCACTTTATAGAAAATATTATTGATCTATCACAAAGAATTTCCTATCAAACTAACTTAAGCAGAAAACTTAACATTGAAAATTGCTTATCAATTGAAAGTCACTGGACCATGACTTAGGGGGCGGGGCCTCAAAATAGTCGTCAAACTGATTGGTACTGATAATAATGCAACTTTATACAAAATACCATTGATCTATCACAAGTAGTTCCTATCAAACTAACTTGAGCAGAAAACTTAACATTGAAAATTGTCTATTAATTGAAAGTCGCTGGACCTTGATCTAGGGTGCAGGGCCTCGAAATAGCTGTCAAACTGATAAAAATGCAACTTTATAGAAAACCTCATTGATCTATCACAAGAAGTTCATATCAAACTAACTGTAGCAGCAAACTTAATATTGAAAAATGATTATTTATTGAAAATCGCTTGACCTTGACCTGGGGAGGGCCTCGAAATAGCCGTCAAACTGATATGTATTGATAGCAATGCAACTGTATACAAAATATCATTGATCTATTACAAGTAGATCCTATCAAAATGACTTAAGCATAAAACCTAACAATTGTTGACGCATCCTCCGCCGCCGCCGGATAAGCAATACTTGTCTCGCTTTCCGCGACTTTAGTCGCAGTCGAGAAAAAACAACATATATTGCACTTAGTATCTTTTTATTACTTTCTTAACTGTATTAGTGACTCCAACATGAAAAAAATCCGACCTCCGATTTCGAGGGGTTTGGCGGGCGACCTGCGACCTGGCACCTTTAACTCAAACAAAAACCCGTCAAATTTGATTAAAAAAAGGGACGTTGTGTCCTAATTGTGGTATAGGTTGCCCCATTGTACCTACAATGTTCTATATTTATATTTCAGCTACAGACTCAGTCCACAGCATCCTTTTCCAGTACCCCTTAACGATTGCTTTGATGTAGTGGAGTATGTCTTAGATAACAGTGACACGCTAGGTGTTGATTCTTCACGAGTTGCTATAGGAGGCGACAGCGCTGGAGGAAACATGGCGGCAGCAATATCCCTTCGACTTCAAAGACGGATAGCTTTACAACTTGTGCTTGTACCGGTTTTGCAAATTATTAATTGGCAAACAACAGGATTTATGGAAAATGTCCTTTACCTAAACAAGAGTATAAACTCTCCTAATTCTTTGGTTTTTCTCACAAACTACCTCAACTTATCACCCGAATACGCACACCAATTTTTGATAAACAACCACACATCACCTGAATTCAAAAAATCTAAATATTTTGACAGCGTCGATCAGAAAAAATGGATGCCAAAAAAGTACGTCCGGACGAAGGACTTATGGGAAAATATTGAATATAAGAAAGATTTTGGAAATGCAGAATTATTTAAAAAAGTAGAAGGATATCTTAAAGAACCTTTAATTTCACCATTGATAGCTGATGACGAAACTTTATTAGGACTTCCGTTTACTTACATCATGACATGTGGATATGATTTCATACGTGATGACGGTATAATGTTTCACGAGAAGCTGAAATATTTAAATGTAAAAACAGAACTGGCTCATTATCCTGAAGGATTTCACAATGCTCTAATGTTTCCGCATGGGCCTCTAAAAATGGACATTGGTGTTAAAATAATTGCAGACATTGTACGAATTTTGAAAAATAAGCTTTAATAAGTGTATGACAAATATCTTAGTTTATGCTTGATAATTAGGGCCCCGCCGAATAACGGGTCGCCCTATAGTGATCAGTCTGTCCGTCCGTCCGTAACAAAATTGTGTCCACTCTATATCTAGAGAACCGTTATAATCTCATACTTAATACTTGACATGTATATTAACCAACACCAGAGGGTGTTTCATAATGTTTGTACAACTTTCGATAGCTAGGTCAAAGGTAAAGGTCAAAAACTTTGGTTTCAGTTGACAACCCCATGTCCTATGGTAAAGATCGTATCCGCTCTTTATCTTGAGAACCGTTACGATTTCAAAGTTTATACTTGACATGTATATAAACCAACAACAGAGGGTGTGTCATAATGTATGTACAACTTCCTAGGTCAAAGGTAAAGGTCAAAAACTTTGATTTCAGTTGACAACCCCGTGTCCTATGGTAAAGATCGTGTCCGCTCTATATCTTGAGAACCGTTATGATTTCAAAGGTTATACTTGACATGTATATTAACCAACACCAGAGGGTGTGTCATAATGTATGTACAACTTTCTAGGTCAAAGGTTAAGGTCAAAAACTATGGTTTCAGTTGACAACCCCATGTCCTATGGTACAGATACAAATTTTACTTTCGTTTCAGTTGAAAACCCCATATTCTATGGTAAAGATCGTGTCCGCTCTATATCTTGAGAACCGTTATGATTTCAAAGTTTATACTTGACATGTATATTAACCAACACCAGATAGTGTGTCATAATGTATATACAACTTCCTAGGTCAAAGGTCAAGGTCAAAAACTATAGTTTCAGTTGACAACCCCATGTCCTATGGTAAAGATACATTTTTTTACCACACGTTATTCACAGCGGGGCCCACAGAGGTGGCTCCCATCTCAATGATGTCTAGTTAAAACTGTCACTGCATTGGAATAAATATTTTTGTCTAGTTGATTATTATATAACAATTACGTTTGATTCACTTGTGTGTATTTGTCAGAATGCTTATACATCACGAGACACACAGCCATAAGGGCCTTCTTTTGAGAAAGAAGGACAAACTAAAAGCAATGTTTATAAAGATAGATAAGAATGGAAATGGTCTGATCAGATAAAGCGTAATTCGTCAGTTTCCTTAAAGGTCTTTGACTCAATATGTCAGAAAAAGAAAGCAATTTAGTTTTTAATACCGTAGACACCAACAAAAAAAAATCGAAGAGATTGCGTTTGAACATTTCTTGTATTATTTTTGTAAACATATAATGGACGAAACGGAAACTGAAGAATGCGTCAACGCGATGCGAAAGGCATTCCTAGAGGCAAGGGACACTTAACTTTGAATTTACAGAGTTATTTTGAGAAAAGAACAGATCTGCGAGAATGACATTTTTGAAGTCATTTGTAAACATTACAACAGATGAAATTGCTTTCAACGATTTTGAACAATTAATGCAATTTATGACGATATATAAAACCTATATCAACTCCTTTTTTTTTTGTATATGCTGATAACCGAAACGATTTTTATGGAAGGGGTAATGTTTGAATCAAATACTACGTTATGGCAAGCCGTTCTCGTCAAAACTATGTTTAAAACAATTTTTCGAAAAATTTACACACTGAGAATTAAAAATAAACACACTGAGATTAAAAAACCTAAAAACACACACTGAATATTAAAATTTACACACTGAGATTTCATAAAAACGCACTGAGATTACAAAAAATGAAAAACACACACTGAGAATTACACAATGAGATTTGAAAAAGACACACTGAGAATTTGAAATTACACACTGAGAATTTAAAATTACACATTGAGATTTGTGCACACTTTTTATGCGCACATATCTAATTAGCATAATTAATCTGAATCTATTACAAGCTTAAAACAACTAGGGGACAGAACTCGTTAGTCCTTCAATTTGGCGCTAAATGTTTTATAAAAAACATTAAAAATACAACGTATAGAAAAACTACGTTATTAAAGACCAATTGAACAAGAAAAATACCCACTTACTCTCATTACAAAATATAACCAAATGGTGAAAAACTTCATTAAAATTATAAGAAAACATTGGAATAATCTGCAAAATACAAACAATACAGTGAATTTTTTCCCAAGTGCCTATTATAGCATATATACGTAACAAAAATATAAAAAATTACCTTGCGAAATCAGGGTAACAGTTGAAAGACATTTGAAAAGGGACCATGCTTAAACAGTTTTAAGCAAAAATCCCGATATACTGTTAGTACTAATCTGAATTATAGGCAAAAAAACTTGTTAAGTCTTGAAATTTATTACGAATGTTGGTTGTAGGAACCGCTATTCATTATAATGACAAGAGTTCGGGAGACCAAGATATTAATCTGTTGAATTATTCATCTCATGAATATTCATTAGTAATTTGCATAATAATCTCAGTGTGTATTTTTGAAATCTCATTGTGTAATTAACAATTCTCAGATTTCATCTCAGTGTGTCTTTTTAAAATCTCAGTGTGTAATTTTAAATTCACAGTGTGTGTTTTTCATATTTTTAAATCTCAGTGTGTAATTATAAAATCTCAGTGTGTAATTTCGATTTCTCAGTGTGTAATTTCAATTTCTCAGTGTGTTATTTAAGGTTCTTAAATCTTAGTGTGATTTTTTAAATTCTCAGTGTGTAGTTTTTTCGAAAAAATGGTTTAAACATAGTTTTGACGAGAACGGCTTGCCATACTACGTTGGGTAAAATGTATATATGCTATTGGTTTTAGCAGAAGTCTATTACTAGACGAAGTATGCAAGCTGTACTATATAGTAAGGCGATCACGATGTCCCCATTATTAGTGGAAAGCCCCATAGGTGGTCCTCCCAAATCTCGTTTTATAACTATGGAATCATGGGTACAAATAATATCATCAAACAGAAAGCTGTTAATTAGTCTCCTTGAGTGTTTGATTAATTATCAGTTTGTTGTAAATGAAGTGAGCCGACTAAGTGCGGTGGTTTCTTATTGCCAGTTATATAACTTCATTTTAATTCAACATTTAGAAAATGATATAAAATTTTATAAACGAATACATTGGTACCATTTTTCATCGCGCAAAGTCAAATGAGAACTATAAAATCTGCCGTGTCGGACTAAAAATGTATCGTCTATTTAAAAGATATAGTTGTTTTTGTAAAAGATAGTCATAAGTGCCTCTTTTTTTAAATAGAACGTTGTGTTGACGAATTATGTCTCGGTTACTTACGGCATCAAGGAAGCTATATACGGTGATGAATAAGCAAAAGATGGGGTTTTTTCTTCGCTTCTACCGAAATACATTTGTCAAAAATATCCGACCATTTGTTGCTTCAGATGACTTCGAAACAATTTCGAATTTCAAAAGTCTCTTGTTTTTTAGCTATTTTAAATTAAGAGACACACTCTTCTCCTGTCTGTCCGTCATTACGTTCGCCATCATAAGATGTATACGTGAGTCAGTGTTGCAACGTGTAATAGTCCTTTTTTTGTTTTATACTCACAAGACTGAAGACATCTGTAAATCATGCGGATTAAAGTTTTGATTTATCGTGTATTGCTAGCTTTACGTTCAGTGGCAAATATTTCATACATATCCCATCAAAGAGTTTTCGCAAGTGTTATATTTAACATCAGAGATCGTAACATTCGTCCTGAATACACGAGGTACTGGATTTAAATTCCGTAATCAGACCTGACGCGGCTGCTATTAATGTATACATCCCACACTTGTAAGAAAGGGTTTTACTGTTGGAACCGGACAATTCCAGGGATTACTTTATTTTTCAAAATTGAGGGTACAATTTTTTAATTTTGCTAAAACTGGTTATATCTGCAGAATTCTCGTGTAACTTTTAAAAAAAACTTATTTCTTGAAATTTGTAATTCGTAACATATATTCTTAAAATAAATATAATAGAATGTTTATTCCTATTAAACTTATTCCTAATCCAGTGTTACTTAATTGTACTGTATATGGATACACAATTCTCCGACCTAATTCTTCCTTGCCAACTTTTTAATGGCATTTTTTTCACAATTAACTCTAAAACCAAACGTTTATTGTATTAAGAAGAGAGCTTTTTCATTCCATTCCGTCTGACAATTTTTCTACGGTTATAATTGTAGTTTTTAAATTGATAAATTATACCATAGATATAACAGCCATTATATCTATGATTATACAAACCTATTTATCATTTAATATTAAAACCATCATAATGAATCATGACACTGATATAATATGCTAGGATCTGCTATTCATTAACACGTCGATGGTCAAAAATTATTTTCAACAGTGTGCTAATTAAGTTATAGGGTGTTTTGCATAAATTATCTCTATCCAGAATGCATCGCAAAAAATTTGGCCATTGATTTTTGTTACTATTAATAGCAATCTCGCTCAAATCCCGTTTCAATCACAGTTGGAAGTACGCGGACAACGTGATCGCCTTACTATATTGCGGGTTGCACACTTCGTCTAGTAATGGACTTCTGGTTTTAGGGATAATGTTTGGTGATAAACGACAAGCAAGTACGTACTGTATTCGCTCTAAAAATGAATAGGTTGAATGTACAAATTGATTTTTTGTCATTTTTGAGAAAATCAAAGTAATTGTATTTTACTTTCTGCCTTAACAATGTAAAAATAAGGAGATGTGGTATGATTGCTAATGAGACAACTATCCACCAAAGTGCAAATGAAGTGGATGTAAGAACGCTAAATTACTTTGTACAATTTATTTGGAAATGTTGTCTTTTAACGATAAAAATTCAATTGATATATATATATATTATAAGGCGAGAGTAGTTTACCGATGTCCAAATACGAGTTAAGATAGGATAGGAAATGTTAAGCAAAGTATGAACTTGGAAATTATGTTTTACTAAATGTAGGTAAGAATGTTACACACGGACAATAGGCCAAATGAAGAATTCATTAAAAATTGATACAAGTAGATATAAAAAAAAAAGTGGTCAATATAGTGAAAAAAAACTTCAGAAGATCTAATGTGTCTGCTATATAAATTGTGGGCGGAAGAAGATTCCTTTTATTAATAATGTGCCGAAACTTAAATTACTCTAGAATCAAATATTTTAATGAAATTTATTATATTGTTCTTTGTTTTAATTCAATGAGTATTAAATCAAATTTGATTTCCTTTTTTTATTTGAAGATTGTTTAAAAGTCTTTTTCGTTGCAGCACTGTGCCATGCATGCACTATAGGGAGAACCATTTTAATGTTCATCGCAATTTTTTTATTTTTGTCAGTACGTTTGCGAATGTTATCGATAAATCATTAAATGACCGGTGATGTCTTTCATTTATTTGTTGAAAACTACAGTTACCTGTAGAATCTTTTAAGGGCTCATGTGTAAGGAAATTCAATCCTTTTTTAGCCCAACCAAATTCGTACTTGTACGAAAAACTAAACTTATAACAATCCTGCATTTTATGGGTCACTCTTGGTGAATGAATAATTCAAATTCTAAATAGTTAATATTAAAAAAAAGTCCAAATTCATCACTAGAACTGGTATTTAATTTCTTCCTAATGCCAATCCACTCATATTAAGAAACATTAAAAATTTGTAGTAAAAATAATTGTCTATTTATTAATTATTTTACTATCTAATTAAAATTAAAACTCCGCACTCTTCATTTTTTTTAATGCTTGGTCGCTGCGTGGGAGCCATTATAATATCAGTTACATAACGAAAAATATAGGAAGAACAAATATCCATTTTCAGAAAGAAACATCTCCTGCTTCGTTACTCCAGGTAAGGCAAGAATACAAAGAACCAACGAAAAAGTCGCGTAAATGTAAACAAAAGACATCACATAAACGTCTGAGAATATGAAACCAAATTTGTATCGTAGCAACTAAATCTCCCGTATTCTTTACGGACAGAATTGTATAATTGTCAAACCTATCAATTTAAGGCAACGGTTGTTTACTGAATTTCAAATCTTATAAATCAATTAAGAAGAGAAGTCAATGTAACGAATAACAAGAAAGTGTCCATGTACACGGATGCCCCACTCGCACTATCATTTTCTATGTTCAGTGGACCGTGAAATTGGGATAAAAACTCTAATTTGCCATTAAAATTAGAAAGATCATATCATAGGGAACAAGTGTATTAAGTTTCAAGTAGATTGGACTTCAACTTCATCAAAAACTACCTTGACCAAAAACTTTAACCTGAAGCGGAACAGACGGACGAACAGACGGACGAACGAACGGACGGACGCACAGACCGAAAAACATATTACCCTCTACTATCGTAGGTGGGGCATAAAAACTCAGAGAACCACATAAACTCTAAACAAAAAATGCGTCGACAGGGTAACTGTCTCCTGCGTTGCATGCATCATCCTACATGAGAATCTACACTCAATCAAAATGTCGCAATTATGTAAAATTACAGATTAAACAACTTTTCTGGTACATAAGGTGATAAAGAGTATCATCTTAACATCTTAAACTATAGCAACTTAAAGAAGCTGCCTCTACTTTTCAACCAGTTTTTTTTTTTTTAAATAGTTGGAACACTTACAATAGCTTTTGTAACGAACGTCTGAAAGATTTTTTTTTTGTTTCTCTTAAAAACATTCTATTTACATTAAGGTATTCCGACGCCTATGTTTCTCTTGGAATTTAATCATATGATGCCGGTTTTCGGTTGCATGATTCGTGTTTTGAGAAAAACTTTCATCCAGTACATTGAGAAGCTAATTATAAATACATTGAATATTTAAACAAAAAGACATGAATAGAACAGCAAACACTTCTTGTGTCAACTTTGCATGAGTAAAATGAAACCTTTGTTTAAGTACAATTCATTAGTTGATATACCGTAATCGGCCTTGTATAGTTCGCACTGGTACATTAAACTAAAAATGTATTTTAAAAAGTATTATTTAGATTGCCTTAGCCATATGAGGCACAACTTTCCGGAATTTTCGCTTTGTAATGCTCTTCAATTTCGTATTTGATTTGGCGTCCAACTGTTTTGACGCCAATAATGAAGTTTATGGAGACGACACGCAATTTTTAGCCTGGTATATCTTTGAATTTTACGAACATGTAAGTACTGGCTTATAATCAGATGCTACCATCATGAATTTACATTTCACGATTGCGGTACAGACCCTGCGGTTATTGTTAAAGCGTTTGTCATACCGTTATGAAATTCAATTGTTCCATGTCAACGCTTAGGTCACAACCTTTCTAAAAATATATGGTTGCTAAGTGCTTTTCACAATTTTGTTTAATCTGAGAAACTTCTTGACTTACATCTAGAAATTGACAATGAGGGTCGGTTGAAAACAAAACTTTACGACAAAAGAGATGATTTCAGCTTCCCAATTGTGAACTTTCCATTTCTATGTAGCAACATTCCAGCAGCGCCTGCATACGGAGTATATATCTCCAAATTGATACGATATTCCCGCGCTTGTTTTTCCTATCATGATTTCCTTGATAGAGGATTGCTGCTCACAAGGAAGCTATTAAACCAAGAGTTCCAAATGGTGAAGTTGAAATCATTCCTTCGTAAATTTTACGGACGCCATCACGAGTTGGTTGACCGTTATGGAATAACCGTTTCACAGATGATATCGGATATGTTCCTTATGTCGTAACTACAATACCCTTCCCTTTTCACGAATGTGACCTACCGAATAAGACTTTACCGGATTTGTAATAACATAAGCAACACGACGGGTGCCACATGTGGAGCAGGATCTGCTTACCCTTCCGGAGCAACTGAGATCACCCCCAGTTTTTGGTTGGGTTCGTGTTGCTTAGTCTTTAGTTTTCTATGTTGTGTCATATGTACTATTATTTGTCTGTTTGTCTTTTTGTTTTTGGCCATGGCGTTGTCAGTTTGTTTTCGATCTATGACTTTGACTGTCCCTCTGGTATCTTTCGTCCCTCTTTTCTTGGAGACTTCAAGAAAATCGATCAAAACTGGAATAACATCCTTTGAAATAAAATTGTTCCATATAAAATGTTGGTCAATGCATGTTTCAAAAAACTATGAAAGTACTGAAACAGTACTACATTATTAAGATGCGTTTTTAGTGTTTGAATGCCACAATACTAAAACGGACAAAGGCAAACATAAGTATGTAAGCCATAATTCACTTTATTGCTTATGTCTACCTTAAAGACAAAACAAAAGTATACCTTGTTTTGTGTTGTCTTTCCGCATTGATCATCTGTATTTTTGGTGGGGTTCGTGTTGTTCAGTCTTTAGTTTTCTATGTTGTGTTTTGTATACTGTTGTTTTTCTTTTGTTCTTTTTTTGTTGTTGTTGCAATGGCGTTGTCAGTATATTTTCGACTTGCGAGTTTGAATGTCCCTTTGGTATCTTTTGCCTCTCCTGTATACGTTTACACTCGGCATTGCACAAGATCGGGTCTGTGTCTGTTTCCGACGTTTCTGTATCTTCTATAAAGTACAGCGGCGGTTATTACAATTTGTTGACTGTATGATTTCTTATCGGCATACTTCTAATTTCTTTGATTTAACTGCGATCATTCTTTCATACGGCTTTGCCCTTTCTTATTTTCATTGTACGTTCGTTTTGTAACTTATGGAATCTCAAAATCTAGTAAAACCCTGATACATGGTCATGTGCCTGTCCCAAGTCTTTAGCTTCATTTTACTGTTATTGATGAATATTTAGTTGATGACAGATCTTTCAGTCTCGGAATTATTCGATTTTTTTTAGAATTGATGCGATTTAGTAAGCGCTGACATTTTGTATAGAAACGTCTTTGTAATTGAGGACAATACATTGACCTCCGATATCATTTGGCTTATTATTGTCATTGGGTTCCGGTCTCATTTATGTTCATCTCGAATCTTATTTTATTCATAAGAAGATTCATTCATTTGTAGTGAACCATTAGTATAAGTATATATCATCGATCAGTTACTAGTTTCATTGTAAACCAGTCTAAATTTAGTGATTCCTGACTTCCGTTCATTTTTTTACTTACCAATTACAGCTGAGTCTGCGGGGGTTACAGGTGAGTCTGCGTGGGATGTGTTATAGTATTCCTTCGGTAACTTAATCAGTAAATACTAAACTATACAATACTTTACACGATTTTATGGTCATGTCCAATGTCAAATATTCTCCCAAAACAATCAGTAAAAACTTTTGTACAAGGTTCAACAAGCTGCCTTTGTTTTATTTCAACGAGAAATACAAACTTTAATACAAAATAGAACTATATGCATTCGTTAAATTTGTCTCGTTTTCAAAAGCAATTAAAAAAACTAAATGCGCTCATCAGCACATGCAAAACGTTTCCGCCTAAAAGCGTATCTCAGTAAATTAAGTAGTTTCAAGATTAATATGAAAAAACATGAGTTCAGTAATAAACATATAAAAAATTGAAATATGAAAACTGTGATTCTATTTTTTTTTTCATGTTTGTCATAAAATGGACCCTATTGAAAACTTAATTTCTTCTCATGATTATAAACTTTGACATTTTATATTTAGCATTTCAATTGTACATTAACAAAGTTCATTTTATGCAGAACTCAGCCAATGGCGAAAATCTTGTCAACTCTTTTGTCAGTTTGGCATATAACTTTGCCTTACAATGCTGTTTACCGGTATATATTGCACCTTCCCACATATTGTCTCCTACCTCTTTGAAATGATACCAAGCGTCACCTACAAGCATAGCTACATCAATAGCCACCGGATTTCGAACACGGAAAGTCACTTTCTTTTCCGTTTCTAGATCCCCAATCGTAGGCTCAAGAAGCGTACTGTAGTACCATCGGTGACAAGCACGTGGTAATGGCCGCTTGTCTTTAGCCGGATGTTTACAGTCAATCATATATCTAAACAAACAATCGAGTTGCGCATTGTCATCATTAGACGTTGTTTTAGAACCGAAAATAAAGAAAACATATTTGCCCATCTGAGGACATCTAACTTGATATGTTACTGATTTGTCATCTCGATATTTGATAAATATATATCTCTGGTAGTCTGTGATATCACTTTGAAATGGTCCATGATATTGATATGTAGGTGACAATTTGACGTCACTTTGTAACTGGAACTGAAAAACAACATCATCATAACTATAAACAACTAACGGGTCGATATGTGTTTGTGGAAAGACTCCGTACTGGCTCATTACAGGAGTCGGACCAAAAAATGGCACTTTCGGAAATGGACTTTTGATTTGATCTCGTTTCTCTCTACATTTTATACGAAAACCACACACACTTTGTAAGGATTCAGAGTTCCAATTGTCTTTTGCGTAAATCATAAAGTAAAAACGTCCAGCTTTAGGTGGTGCAATTGTGAAGATAGCTTTATGACCTACAATTCTTAGCAGCACTCTTCCTTCTAATTTACTTTGATCTACATTAGTGTCTTTAGCCTCTAGTGTATACCCGAATCCGAGTAGACTCGGCATTTTGATTTGCATTATCACTATACCATTACTTGTATACTGGGTACAATCATAATGATTAACAAACTTCAAACCATAATTAAAAAATGGCGATTTTACAATTGGGAGGTTAATGAACTCTGTCATAGTGATTGGACATTCAAGCAGCTGCCATTTTGGATCGTTGGGAAAATGCTGATAGATATGATCCTCCGGATCAGTAATAAAGTAGAACTCGTCACACTGATAGAACAAACCGCCTTCCATTTCATCGTCGTCTGTCGAGTTAGGACATTTAACATGGCGGGCACCCCAGTTGCAGTTGACAAAACACCATGAACCTTCAATTGACACTGCCGTCCACGAGTTCTTAAATTTTGGATTATCTATTCTCATCCCTGGCTTGTACCCTGCGCCTTTGGAATAACCTTGAATTACTTCACAGTGAATTCCAGCATAACTGAAAAAAAAATATTAAAAAATTATCATCAGCTGAAATCCTATGTAAACCTGCGATAACTTCATCACAATGTTGCAACTTCTCCATGGATGTCGGATACCACAAGCGTTTTAATACAATCGAATGGCATAGATTTCAATACACGCCAATAAGTGATTATTTCAGTGGAATCATCACTATATTACTTAGTATATGGTTCAGTGTGATTTCCATATCATTCAACTCTTTTTTCATTTTCCTTATCCACCAAGAAAGCAAAACAAAATGAATATGGAAATGCCGCTGGTAATTTATTACATTTACATCCATAGATTGTAGGTATAAATAGAGAATATTGCCTAATGTAAATGTTTACATATTGGACTCTCAATATTGGACATTAGCCTTCACCTATGTTCTACCGGGAATATTAGTAGATTGCTACAATAACTCTAAATATTCCGTTCTATGATTACTGGCAGTTTCAAACAAAATGTCATGACATATTAACATTTATCATAGGCGATCATGATAGTAATACTAGTTAACTGTCGTATTTATATATACATTGGTAAAAAAAAATGTTTCTATAATGAAGTTAAACTTTAGCAGACACATATATCATTTCAATAATCTATAATAGAATATAGGCCAGTTTTAAGCAAAGTGAGCATGTATATATCCCATAAAACATATGAGAGATATTATATATCTAATGTTTAACATTTCATAGGCTATGTTAAACATTCTGTTTTAATGTGATGCATGCCACCGATCTGCTGCAACAGCTGATACTAGTCCCTAAATATTCCATAACTTCTGGAAATTTTCAGCAAATATAACATAAAAATACCATGCTCAGATTTTTTTTCTTTTTATCGTTAGCTTCCAAAGAACTTACGTGGCTGAATTCAAAATGACGAAAGACTGATTTGTCAATTTTTTTAGTTCCCTTTTTTATTTTTCAGTCCTTTAAGTTCTTATCTCTCTTTCATTGTTCCTATGTATTTCCATACGAGTTCATGATGAGGGTTTATCCGATAATGTCTGTCAATGTTATAAAACACTACCTTTTAATCAAACTAACATGTTTTAGATGAAAATGAAAAAAAGGTTTAGTTTTTTTAAAATTCATTTCGATTGTTTAACCAATCTAGGGTTTCGAATTGATAAAAAAAAATTAAAAAAGACAGAAATGTATACATCTTACCTGCATAGCCGTTTAAAAAGGTCATGATAGCTTTCAGTGCCAACCTTAATACCACGTAGAAGTCCGAGAGGAGATTCTGGGTTAATGCTATCTTCAAATTCCATTTTATTCAAGTCTTTGACAGTAACCCATCGAAATATAGACCTGTTTGCAAAACAAAAACAACATGCAGAATCTTATTTATTGGCATCTGAATTTACAGTGATATGATTTTTCTTTTATATTGTGCATGTTACCAATGCTATTTATTGTATTTCTTCTTTCAGATACCATTATGTATTTAAGGATATTGGCTACGATTTAGACAAAACATCAGAATGAGATTGTTTTTGTTTCGTTTATAATAGCGGAATATTGAAATAAAATTTCGCAAATCTGAGTAAGTTTGGTTCAATTTTTTGAAAGATATTAGCTGAAATATTAATGGCTGGCTTAATTTATAATTCAACCTAATTTGAACCCGTATTCATGCGATCTTCAATTTGACCCTTAGCAGGAGTGTTGTGCATGAGCGTAGCATGGTCAGTAATTTAAAAAGAAAACAATGTCAACATCAAAAAATTTAAGGTTCATTATAAACTTTTAGCAAATATGGCCGTATTTACATCACAAATATTTACTGCAAACATAATTGTTTCTGCAAACTTGCCGCAAGCTTGCAGCAAAAAGCTGCAATGTTTGCAGGAGGTTTGCAGCTGCAAACATCTGCAAACATTATTCAAAGGGTTCCTTCCTGCAAGCTTTCTGTTTGCAGCAGACCTGCAGCAACTCTACTGCAGATCTGCAGCAAACATTTCATTTCTTTAAGGGTAGATAATTACATTTTAAATGCATTTTATATTTCAGAACATTGTAAACTTTTATGGATTTTAAGTTTGGAAAAATGTTTCAGATGTTCCCTTGTTATAATATAAGTGAGTTGTTTAATGGACGTGAACAATAGATGGACAATAAATATTTGTGTTTGTTCGAATCAAATTGTCAACTTAGCCATTTAAGGGGAGATAATTCAAATAGTAAATTTTTTATAAAAGAATGATAGAGAAATTTTCAATTTTTACTTGTAAGAAAATAAGGTCGATGACACCATTTTTTCTTTTCATTTCCTTAAAGCATATTTTAAAACCTATCTTCTCATATTTTATTTCAAAATTCTATCTCATAAATTTCTTGTTATTCACAAAAAAAAGTGGTTTTGTATGAACAATCTATGCAAATTTGGGCAATTTTGCACGACTTGTAGCTTGAAAAATGGCACGGTGACCCATACTTTTTATCATATTTGTGAAAAAAGCATTGAAATATCTACATTCTGGCAAAGTATAAGAAAATTCTATCTTAAGAAATATATACCAATGATCCACCTTAAAATTGTAAACTCGAATTTACATATGATAATGATATATTTTTCAAATTACGCATGTCAGCTGAGATGGATTGATTTTATTACATTCTCAGTAGATAACAAGCAGGGTAGTAGTGCTTGATATTTTTTAAAATATTTGAATATTTTTTTCCAATTAATTTGACTTTCTGCCTTACTTACCTGACCTTTTCGAATTAATGGAAGATAAATCTCAACTTACCTAACTTTTTCCAAATCAGTCTGACAACTTGTAATCAAATCTTTAACCAAGTCTGTAAAGGAACAATAGTCCTGCTTTGCTACCTGTAGAAATATCCACATAAACATCATAAACAAATTGAAAAGTTATGCAATAATGATATAATGAGACAAAAATAGTGAATAAGCTTTGTCGTAATTTCATTTGAAAATAAGCAAATAGTAATCAAAAATGATATATATAACTATTTGAGGAGAACTGATGATAATATCACAAAGGAACTGGCGTGGGTAGTGCAAAAAGTGCATCACACATATTTTTTTTACTGTAAAGGTTTGGAAAACTTTCAAGTTGTACATGGCGTCAGCATATTAAAGACGTCAAATTGGCTCTGTTTTTCTCTCATTCATTGAGATTTTTATACAGAAAGTATTACTATTATATCATGTGTATTGCTGCTTAACTTCTAGTGTATTAACAGTAAAGTATATTACCGAACTAAGTACTTTCATTATTTTACCACTAAGATGTATAAAAACAATTGAACAATTACAAAAAAAGTTTAAGTTGTCTTCTTTATAGGACTATCTTATTGAGCTTCTAATTAGAGTTTAGCGTTTTATTTCATGTAACATCAGTACTTTTATTAATATTATCATTATATATTTGTGTTTTTTTCTAACTTAGGTAATTTAGAAACGGTTATTTAGTATTATGTCTGTTCAAAATTTGATTTCGGAAGATTGTGGTATTTCTAAAATTAAAAAAAAAATCTATATACAGGTTTCGCTCCAAAATATATGTACGAGAATGCAAAAAAAATAAATTAAAGTCCAATACATTCATTGCTGACCCCCCCCCCCCCCCCCTCCCCCCGCGGAACATCTCAACCTTTATACTAGAAATATATCTACCTTAAACGAAGATATTTATACTCACTTCAATAACTTGGTCATCAATACAACTGAATTCCTCAGGGTTTTTGAAAAGTGCCGATCGTCTGAACTCTGGTGGTGCTACAGGTGGGGGACGGGACAGAACCACTGTGTCTGGTGTTGTCTCTTCTGTTTCTGGAGAACTCTATTAGAAAAAATTTAAAATATATTGATTCCAAACAATTACTCACAAGAAAAAATAATTAAGTCTATGTATTTTGTATTCGGTATAATATACCATTTAAACTATATTTCTTCCTTTTCAAGAGACCGTCTCGTTTATCTTCTTCTGATGTACACATGTGTAATCAAAATAAACAATCTGCCAGTTTTTTTTCTATGTACAATTTTTCGATTTGAAAATCTTCATTGATCACGAGCGTGTCGAAAGGAACATTAACAGATTGTTGATTTATATGTTAAGTAAAGCGAGGTAACACATGTTCAATACAGCAGTTTTCTTTCATCAAAATGATATCAAAACTTCAGATAATATTGAATAAATTACTTTAAAAAACCTTATCAAAACATCCGTTGCTATTTTATATGTTAAGTGTGTTGCACTTGTTTGTTTATATTTACAAACCTCGTTGGCAGCCAGTTTTTCAGCTATCATTAGTAACATTTCCTCGCTATGTTTCTGTATCATTTTTGCTACTCTTGACCTCTCCTCTGATGTTAGACGTTCCAAGGATGCTTTAAGACGTTCATCCCTCTGCTGTTGATACTGCTCCCCCGTTTTATCTGGTTCTTTTAGTTTTTTTACTTTGGTCTTACTTGGCGAACTTTTTGTCAAACTTGATAAATGCTCTTTAGCAGATTTGTCTTGTTCTTTTTGAAACTCCTCTTCTAAGCGTTTCTTGAGAGTTTGGCGTTCATGTGAGAATTGTTCATACAACTTATCTTCTTCTGCTTTTTGTTTTAATTCTAATTCTGTCTGAGCCTCAAATATCCCTGTACTCTCATAATCCTATTTAAAACCAGAAACAACATGTGTACATACAACAAAATAACAAGTGTAAAAATTTAAACATAGAACGCGCAACAAAGAGATCAAAATAATTCAAAGGAAAGTTTTACCACTTCAATGAATATTTTCTGTCCACTTAAAAATAATAACCTTGCTGGCATATGAAAATGTAATTTGTTATCGGGTTATGTCAGTCGGAGCAGACGTTCAGTCTTTATTTTCTAATTTTAGATTTATTTCGACTATGCTGTTCTACACATTCTTTTATTTTGGTGAACTAATATTGTTTGTGTGTGTCTTTGACATTAATCCTACGTCTCCTTTTCATGACATTGGCAAACAAATTAACACAAAAACTTTAAATATAAATATCAGCTTCTTTCTACTATAATTTTTTGGCCTACTCGCCCTTATGGAACTTATCAACATTAATTTGTAGTTGCAACTATTCTATAAAAGTTTAAAATTCTGCTAAATCCTTGGATAAGATATTTTCCTATGAGGACAAGCTATAATTTAATAAATTCTAAATGTGATTTCTTAACTGTTGACTATTATATAACATCACAACAAAAATTTATTTAAAAGGAATGTTCCTATATGATAACATGTTCTTTCGGCAAAGCTGGATGGGACTATATTATTAACTGATGTCGTTAATATTTCTTTATTCGTACAAAAACAATAAAAGGACACGAATTGATCATGCAAGTCGTTATATTATGATTGATAATGTTAATTTTCGTTTCGACAATAATACTCTTATCCGATGGGAAAGGTATATGCCTCAATAAACAATAGCAAGAGGTACATGTACATCTTGGGTGTCTCCATAACTTTACGTGCACACCTTCTGCCGATCTAGACCATGTGTCGTAACTAACATAATAAAAAAAAATAACAGTGCGGATACTAAGAGGATGACCGTTAACCTGCATAAGGAAGTAGGAAACGGCACATGGTCAAAATGTGCTCTCTTCTACAGGAGCTAGCTAGCTAAGGTACAGCTGTTGATTACGTGCTACCACTACAGGAGCTAGCTAGCTAAGGTACAGCTGTTGATTACGTGCTACCACTACAGGAGCTAGCTAGCTAAGGTACAGCTGTTGATTACGTGCTACCACTACAGGAGCTAGCTAGCTAAGGTACAGCTGTTGATTACGTGCTACCACTACAGGAGCTAGCTAGCTAAGGTACAGCTGTTGATTACGTGCTACCACTACAGGAGCTAGCTAGCTAAGGTACAGCTGTTGATTACGTGCTACCACTACAGGAGCTAGCTATCTTAGGTACAGCTGTTGATTACGTGCTACCACTACAGGAGCTAGCTAGCTAAGGTACAGCTGTTGATTACGTGCTACCACTACAGGAGCTAGCTAGCTAAGGTACAGCTGTTGATTACGTGCTACCACTACAGGAGCTAGCTAGCTAAGGTACAGCTGTTGATTACGTGCTACCACTACAGGAGCTAGCTAGCTAAGGTACAGCTGTTGATTACGTGCTACCACTACAGGAGCTAGCTAGCTAAGGTACAGCTGTTGATTACGTGCTACCACTACAGGAGCTAGCTAGCTAAGGTACAGCTGTTGATTACGTGCTACCACTACAGGAGCTAGCCAGCTAAGGTACAGCTGTTGATTACGTGCTACCACTCGAATAAACAATAACAATCAGAAACAGCATTTCTAACAAGTTTCATAGAGTCCCATCTATAGGTACCTTGGCTAGCTCCTTTTAGAAACGAGCACATTTTGACCATGTTTTCCAAACGTATATGCCGTTTCAGTTACTAAGTGGTGTAATCGATTGAAATTGGGAAGTTTATGCATGCAGTTCTTTTAGGCTGTTGTTCCGTCTTTTCGTCTTGTTTTTTTTATTTAGCCGTAGTTTTGTCTGGCTTTCTTTGGCTTATTGGCTTTGATCCCCTCCTTTATATCTATTTCCCTCCTTTGTATCTTTTTGTCTCCTCTAAATATTTTTTTCCCTATTTAATACACAGTAATAATCATACCTTGTATGTTCCTAGGGAGGTTCTTTTCCTCTCCCTCTGCGCAAGCTCCCTTTGATGAGTAAATTCCATCGCATTAGCGTCATACTGCCACCCTGGATTATATTTGCTTCCTCGTATCTGTAAAAAATATATATAAGGCTTGTGATAAATGTGTCTAGAAATTATGTACGCTGCATAAGATGTAAACCCAGTCTGTTGGCAGAATCGTTAGTTTGCTGAACAGTGTTCTTGCACATGGTCAATACTTGTTTTTTTCACTTCATTTATTTTGATTTCAAATTCTCAAACAATCTTTAAAAAAAATACCTGAAATAAAATATGTTAATGGCTGAATGCTATCCGATGTAATACAGTTAAATTGATACATCATGTTCCTTCCGAGGAATGTTACGACACCAATATTTACAGATGGAAACTTTCTTATATGGACTTTCAGGGTTCATTAATTTTGTTTTCATTGGCGGTTGGTTATTTCAGTTACAAATGTAATATTTTTATTTCTATGTCGATGAACACGTTCAGTTTTTTTTCAGTAGATTTGTAAAACTAACTTTTCTTACATGAACACATTTGATTTTAACTATTTAAAAGCCTTTGTCTGCGTACAGTTGCGTAATATTGTGAAACTTATTTTTAAAAAAAACCCATGTGCATGATCAGGGACCAATGACCATCTGCATGAACATAATGCTCATTGTTACTTGTATCTAAAAACGAATCTATGGTGTTAAAATGATAAATGACAAAAATCTGCTTACCATTATATAACTCTCACGTCTGCACTTAATGTTTATTATGAAGCAATTGCGCAGTATATTACTCTCTCAATTGATTAGAATACAGACTGACGCGCGTACATGCATGCGATGAATTTGACATCAATTTCAGATTATTTTTCTACCATAATATACCTAGAGGAATTAACCTCTGATTATTATATTTATTTTTAATCAATGACGCCCTTGCAAACCTCTTTGTCATAATAAAGAGAGAAAAAAAAACTCATAAACTCACATGCAATCGTCGGCTTATTTTTTGTTGTTGTTGGAAATATTCAAATATTTACAACTGTACATCAAATTTCATTTAGTTTATTTAAAAAAAAAAAAGACCAATAACCCATGTAATTATGCAATGATAATGTGTTCCCATATTTTCTGTAACAGTTGTAAAAGTCAATGTTCATTTTTCTAAATGATAAATAATACCTAGACAGTAGCTATATTTCTTTCTCTTATACGCGTGTATACTTAATTAACAGAATCAAAGACAGAAATCATAACAGCTTTGTACCAAACACAACAGACAGATAATCAAAACAAAAATTACATCAGACAACGTTTGTTTAGAGGAAAGACGGTATTTATGAATTACTAATATTGAAAACGAAAGAAAACACAAACAGCTGGTAACAGGAAAGATGTTTTTGAAGCACACAGCTGTCTAAAGATCAGAGAATTAATTATGTAAGACTGAGAGTTAAATGGTTTAACCATATGTTGTACATGATACTAGAGACGTTCCTAATGATGCAGCGTTAACAGACTGTCAGTTATTATTATCACTTGAGTCTTTGCATTTAACCTATTTTAAACTTGACAGGAACGAAATAAAACATATATAAAGTAAACTGTACTGATTTTGGTGCTTTCGCAGGGAACGTTCAGGTTCAAAAGTTTGAAAAGTAAAGGGTATGTTCAGACGTGGAGCTACATGATTGGAAGAGATAAGTAAATCTTAACTTAATCAAACTTTGTCTTTGAAGGCTTTGTATCCTTTTCTTTAGTTCTTGTACCTTTAAACTGTCCGTTATATTATTTGTATCTTTACCTGAAAATTTTACCTGTAAGGTCAAAACAAATTTTCAACCGTTCTAATAATCAATCCTGCATATGCATTGTATAAGAATGTCTGTAAAAACGTTTGAACATCTACAGTTTCGGGGATAGTAGCAAATTTAAAAGCCTTTTTTCGTAAGATTTATAGATAACAAATAACGTACTGCTTTCATACCGTAAATAGTTCTACATTAAAAGAACAGTCAATATCTTTGAAGTTGTATTCCGTTGTCTATAAAAGGATCTTTTTTTTTTATTTTCATCTTTATTCATTATATTTTATGAAAAGAAAACGGTGAAATATCTACGCTCAAATATATACAAAGACCATGTCGCACACAATACGAGTATATACGATAGTTATTCCCAGCGAGTTTTTAGAACCAATTTAAAAGCTGGTTTTCTGCGTTTTACCGCGCGACTGAAATACTATTCTGCATCTTTTTTATCATCATATCCAGTGACCAATAATCCATTGAAATGCATTTATTATTTAACATGATTGAATCATAAAACCACGGTGTTATAGTTTAAAGACCATAATCCAACAATAAAAATTGCTCTCTGTCAATTCCAGTGTATAAAATTAGTGTTACTTTTTCTGTACCGAAAGCATTATTTTGTAGAATTTAATGCATAGGTTAGTGTTGTATTTCTCTAATGGCAAAAGTTCATCTAAATTTGTTCATGCATATAAATATATACAAATATAAGCGACCTGTTCGAGAATAGATTTATGGACACGTTTGTATTTACGAATTGATTTTTTTGTATATCTTCTTACTTTTTTGTCGTATAAAATACAATTTAGTCGATATTAGTACAATGTCATTTATTTCTGAACGCGTTAAAAGATTAGCTGTTTTATCAAAGTGCAATGTTGACGCCAACATGAAAGCAATGTGATCTTTTGTAAGTTAAAGTTAAGCATCGAACATTTCGTACCTGCAGAAGATGTGGGATGTAATTCAAGCAAGAAAGTGTTTGACCGATGTTTACTCCCACAGAGTTGTCATGTAGTCATTTGAATAAAAGAAACATTAGACCACTGTATGTTTGTAGACTTTTACTATACAATAACTTAGTGCAGTTTTTCAGGAACACGCATAAGGCAACCTCTTTGGCGATTATATTTGTATGACATAATAGAAGATGTGGTGTATAATTCAATAAGGCAGCAATCAAACAACACAAGAACAACAATCAGCCAGTTGTCAACATACCGCTTTCAACAATAAACAACTATTTTTAACTTGTCATGCTTTGAATCCTCCCGAGTTTACCAAATTTGTGAGACTATCAAAGATCTGTCATAAACACATTTGTGAGACTATCAGAGATCTGTCATAAACACATTTGTGAGACTATCAAAGATCTGTCATAAACACAAAATTTCCTAAATAACAAAAAAAAAATACATATACATTTTTACTGGCAATTATTTCAGAATACATTTCGACTATACGTTTGTATAGAAATTAAGTCGTTGACTAAATAGAATAACTCTATCTTAGCAATTCGATATTATTGTGTACAAAGAGTAAAGTAAAACGGTATTAATGATATCTTCCTACTTTGGAGACACTACGTGTTCATTGATTGGAAAGTCGCAAAGTTCACTAAAGCCTTGGGACACGCTCAATTATAAGGAGATGTGAACACCATCTAGACCAAATTATCCATAATCAAGCGCTGTAGGAAGAAAATTGACCACATGCTCGTAGTCATTTTACAGATAAATCATTTATAATTCAGAGCGTCCGATTATTTTAATTCTATTACATTGTCTGGTGTCTGAGATAACGAACTTATACAACTGAATAGACAGTTATTTTGGTAATATTTTCATTTCTACCAAGTTAATAACGTTAAACAAATGACAACAATAAAACTAACATCCAAATGGACAAGACGTTTATAGTTGTATAAATTCATGTACAATCGGACAAACAGAAAACTGAAAAACTTTTAACGATATGAAAAAAAAGAGATCTCACACGGCATATATTTACACGGAAGTTTATTTTTCTGCTTGCGAGAACTAAAAGCTAATCTTTTGTACAACTTTTGCTGCTTCATTTAATAAAAATACTAAATTGAGCATGACATTGCAAATGACACTTGTTTCAAGAGTTAAATGAATTTATTATTTTAGAAAAAAAATGTATGACAGTTGTGCCATTTTATTATAGTCATTAAATAGCTGTTTTTATGATTCAGACAGGAATATGGCAAGCTATGCTTTATAACCAATAACCAACAAAACCAACAGAAAGCTATGTATTATTTAACAGGACTGATTCATTAAAACAGACTGCTATTGTTTAAGAACCATAATCCAACTATAAACATGGTAATCTGTCAATTCTAATGGAGATGAAATGGTGTTTTGTTGCAGAGAAGACCATTTAGTCGATAATAAAGTTAATTCTATCATACAACAACAGGTTACAGGATTAGTTGTGTTTGTCAGTTCTACAAAGGGTTAATATCTCTGGAAAGCAAGATGCTCACATCCAATGTTTGTCGCCAATAAAAAGGTGAAAGTATTGAATCAAGCATCACAAACTTGTCAACATAACTATTTTGGTATAAATGTATTCTTCGGGAAATATGTTTGATCAATGTATTCTGTCGTAGTTTTGTATTAAAATATACATTGTAACAACTATCCAAACATTGCAAGCATGTAGATTTGCACCCAATTCACTATTTTGTTGGAATCAGATTAAAGTAACATTATCCATACTACAAAGCCAAATATACATATTAACAAAAGGATACTATAAACTTACAACAGGAGTTTGAAGATTCTAGGGGTAAATCAGAACAAAGGCTGATGTGATATATAGAATGTCATACTCTGTAACGGTTGTTCATTGTTAAATGCCGTATTGAAACTTCTGTTTATGCTTTCATTTCTGTTTGATTACATTGACGGCTTCTCTACATTCATATAGTAAACTCAGATTTGGCAATTTTCACAATCATTTTGTGTATGTAAGCTTCACATACTATTAGTAGTCGAGCTACTTTAGTGGGGGGAAAAAGTGAACTACAAAATTCTCTAGACTTTTTTGTATTTGATTGATAAATTACATAAATGTCTATTTTATTCTATATCATATACATATAGATACAATTGCCAATGAGAAAACTATCCACCAGTCTATTAACGACGTGGATGTAAGCATTCTACGATATCAATTATTCCTGTCTTATGTAAACATCGTAGACTAGAAGTTGGAATCATCTGTCAAAAGACCAATGTAATTGATA